TGAATGCATCTGCCCTGTGGTGCCCTTCTCCCCTCCTCTCCCAGCTGTCAGCGCTGCAAAGGGCCCGGCAGCCCATACCAGCCTGGCGAGGGTGGCACAGCCGGTAAGGTGTCAAGTTCCTCCGCTAATGTTAAATATTAGGTTTTGGGAGTCGCCCTCGAATTGTTCGAAGGGGCGGGGGGGATGGGCATTCAGCGGTGATGCCAGGAGTATGGGACTGACATAGAAGCACGCCGCCTCAGCTCATGTTTCCTGTCCCACCCTCAACCTCCGAACCTCGCAGCAAGCCTCTCCCTCACCACACCGGAAAACCATCACGCCAAGCGCGGACGGGACTGCACCAGGCGTCTAGGGTCTGGGGCTTGGGCTGGTGGGTCCAGGGAAGTTTCAGGGTTCAGCCGCCAAATGTGCAAACGGCAAATCGAAGGACCGTCGCTTCAGGCCTGAACACTTTGCGGCCCTTGTCGGCGCTCCCTTCACTGCTCGGCTGCAGCAAGCTTGCCTGTTCGCGGGTAGTTGTCTAAATTAGGATCCCATTTTAGGTCCCCAATATAGTACGGCACCCTTTTTACATGGACCCTAGAAAAGGACCCTGATTTAGAGAACTACCCTCGTGGTCAAAGCAAGACATCTGTTCATCTCAACACGCAGCGAGATACTTTCATGGAACTGCAAAGCCTGCACTCCGCTTTAAGTCTTCATAGTTTTGACCTGAGCGAAAGGAAAACGCTCAAGCTCGTAGCCTGATTCATTCATTGAGCGATCCCGCTTGCCTGCCCACCCGTTTACTAGGAGGACTGCGATCATATCATATAATATAATGCAAACAAAAATGTCAATATGCATAATAATACAGATTTACATACAAGTATTAATATAAATATAACTATAAATATGTACATAGAATATGGAAACAGAATAGAATAGAATAGAATAGAATAGAATAGAATAGAATAGAATAGAATAGAATAGAATAGAATAGAATAGAATAGAATAGAAGAGAAGAGAAGAGAAGAGAAGAGAAGAGAAGAGAAGAGAAGAGAA